CATTCTAGCCACAGGAAGATGAAAGAAGACGCTAAGTTTATGGTAATCTGGTGCAGTTTAAGAGGTGTTATCTATAAGAAAAGGAGAATAATAAACAATCCCAACAAGAGTCAAGGCCGTAACAACGTGCTTGCAGGATGATACACACCTCAGAAGAGAATGTCTCAGAATTGTCAATAAAAATAAAATAAAAGAGACAATAAGTTCCTTTCAACTGGCTATGCTTTTGGAAAATAAGTTCAATAACATACGTTAGTTCCTAAAATTGGTAAAAAGCAAAAGTCCGAAGGGTCGTCGTTCACGACGGTCTAAGCACTAACCCCAACTAAACCCCAAGAAAGTCCGGGCGGAAAGTTTAGCTGCCGATATTTTTACTGCGGCAATCCAAGGCGATAAAAGGATATTCCTAGTGTTGGACAACAAATGCCTAGCGCTGGTACACCTCCCAAAGTAATGGAAGACAACAAACGTATTATCCTCCGGCAATCAGGCAATTAGCAACACCAAAGTCCTACAGGCCTATAGGTCTTCTACCAGTCTTACCCGACGCTATATTCTCTTACCGACGAACCGAGAATGCAGAGGAACGCATGGTGGCATGCACTTAAACATCAATTAATCACCAGAAACTGTCCGCAAAATCCATATGTTAAGGTTAACTCTATGTCAAAGATCGTTAGATTGTGGTCTTTGAGTTTTTTCGAAAACAGCGTTTTTGCGGTGGTGCTACCTGTGAGCATTTATGACAGTTTTCTCACTTAGCCAGGTACCTTTACAGCTACTAGAAGATTGACAAATAAGTCGCTATATTAACTCATATGTTTTGACATTTCAGTATGAACTTCATATTGGGTTTAAGTTACACGGTTAGACAACTGGTTGGCAACGTTATATATTGCTTGTATTGCAGTAGTGATACGCGTGGCTTCGTACCATAGACTACACAATCAGCACACACTGATTTAGACAACATTATTGCGTAACGTCGGTTCTTTTGAGTAAATTTTTATGCACTAGCTTTCTTTTTCTGTTTCTTATCAACATAAATTCTTTGGAACAACACGAATTTGCCACTTAGTATATTTTTCGTTTCATAGATGGCGCCTTCTATTCTCCAAGATGGCTTCTCGCAGTGTTGCCAACTTCTGCAATCCAGTGGAATTTGCAGTTTGTTTAGCAGTTTATTGGATAAATCTGGTATTATTGGTTGTAATACGATGCCGCATATTCTCAATGTTTCCATAGTGATGTGCAGTACAACGTCTAGTTCTTTTTGGCCATCGAGTTTCTTGCGAAGTTCCCATGGCTTGTGGCATTCAAAGAATACATTTGCGAGGTGCAAGGTCCTTATTACGGCATCCGCTACTTTGTAGAATTGGTAGTTTCTGTAGTGTCCATAGCAGACTTCTGAAAACGTCATCAAGCGTTAGAAACCCATATTAGAAAGCATTAATTTATGTTAGTGGAAGGTCTGTTACAAACTATGACGTGACAGAAACTTACACCTAATATATGTTACGGATGAGTTATAGTAGGTACACACACAGTCACGCGCATAAGTGCACACGGGCACATAGACACACCCTTACACGCACACTCATGCACATACACACACGCCCGCACGCACGCACGCACGCACGCACACACACACGCACGCAGACACACACGCACGCACACATATACACACACACATACATATTTCATAGATTTTACCCACCGTGCAGTCTCTCGACGTGATCCATGAGCTGCGCGGACACGTCCTGCTCCAGCGCAGCGAGCTCGTGCGTGTGCAGCGGCGGGAACTCGCCGCGCGGGTTGAGCGCCGCGCCGCAGCAGCGGCTGGCCAGGTTGCCCAGCGTGTCGGCCAGTTCCGAGTTCGCGATGTTGACGGCTTTGGACTCGCTGTAGTCTGGTCAGCAACAAGTCGGCACGTTAGGGCCTTGGCATTCTCAGAAGTGGTCGTTTAAAGTGGGAACGTTTACAAAAGGGGAACTTTTAAGAGGTAATTTTAATTTATTCCCATTTCCATTGTTAATTAATAACAAATTTAACATAGGAAATGAAAAGAAACGTTTGACAAACCCCAGGTCCTTGCAAAAGAAGTTCGTTATCTACCCAGGATGCTGCGAGAGGCCATTGAAATTAAAAAACATCCTAATTTCAACAGGGAAGATGGTTTCTCCGTACCACCAGTTTGGGATCCAGTATTTCTTCTAATGAAAAATCCCAAACAGACATAACACTGCAGTACTAATTAATATGTTTTAGTTTATTCTAATTTCTATTAATAATTAATAATAAATTGAACTTAATAAAAATTCATTCAATAAAATAATTTGTAAAACTTAATATAGCGTAAATTGGAATGTTTTCTTTGTAAAATTAAAAATAAGGTATTTAATTAATAATTATTGTAACTGTAGTGAAAAAATAGGGTGGTTTGCATCAATATTAGACATAACTGGTTGAAGACTGTACCACCTCAGTCAACTGTGACCATGGGATCTGTAAAGGGCCCGAAACGTCGGTTTGTTTGAAAAAACAAATATACGCGATTTAAATCTTTCCTATGTGTAACAATCGCGAAAACCTAACAACTCGATAACAAATTTAACTTTATTAATAACTTTTCTAACTATAGTGAAAAAATAAGGTGGTTTGCATTTTTATATTAGACATAACCGGTTGATGACTGTACCATCTCAGTCAACCGTGACCATGGGACCTGTAAAAGGCCCGAAACGTTGGTTTATTTGAAAAAAATAAATATACGCGATTTAAATCCGGAAAAATAGTTTTATTTCCTGCGTGTAACAATCGCGAAAACCTAAGAACTCGATAGGTAATTTTAAGTTTAGGTCACTATAAAAAGTGGTTAGAAAGATTTAAGTAATTATTAGTGGATATTTTAAGAATAGGTCACTATAAAGAATTGACATTTAAAAAATAGGTCGCTATAAAAAATGGATATTTTAAGAACAGTAGGGCCAACACGACAGGGCGCGAGTTTAGGTCGCTCTCGCGCAAAACGCGCTCTGTCGTTATACTGGTTCCTATAACGACAGAGCTTTATTTTTTTATTTTTTTTATTTATTTATTACTATTATTTATAGTTTTAAGAATAGGTCATTATAAAAAACGAAAATTTAAAAAATAGGTCATTTTAAAAAGTGGTCATTTAAGATCCTAGTCATTAGCTGCAGGACACAAAACTCTAAATAAATTTCTTACGGGAAAAATAGTTCTGAACCTTAAAAAGGTTTATCGTAAAATTTAAACAGATGTACTCCAAAGGGGATTGATTTTACTTCATAAATACAGATAACTTTTACTTTAAGAGTCCACCTTAGCTCCCGTACTAATACGGTTCATTTTGCTTGGGTCGAACGGCGGGGAAACTGGCTTATTCCTCAATTTATTTTTTTACAAACGATATTAAAGACATTTGAAAAATGTATATCGTATACTATACGTGTTCTATTTAGCTCAGATGATATTGAAAAAATCATTGGTTTTATATAAAGTACCTGTTGAATAAAGTTGTTTTCTTGTAAAATTTCTAGGTAAATTTGTGTATTTTTTTTTCTGACGTGAAAATTTTTAGGAATTGTGTTTTCACACAATTCCAATATCATTGACGTACTAACAAATGGACGTCGGGTTCCCGCTAAAAAGTGTCCGCACCTATAGGGCGTTAAAATCGCATACAGAGCTTCAATCGCGCAACAATATTTGTTTGTTCGACTGACAGCGCGGTTGTCAATCATGTAGTACTATATAATGACAACTTGTAAAAATTACTGCAGTGAAGAGTGAAAACAGGATTTTGTATCATATTTTAACTAAACAAATATATTGTTATCATTTAAAATTGTTGTTTTGTACAGTTGTTTAATATTTAATTTATTATATAAATGAATCGTAAATATAAATTACAAAAGGAAACAAAATAATCAAATAGCTAACTGTCCTTTTTCTACACATTGCATGCGCAAAAGATGGCAAGAGACCCACTATGTCTATTTCAAGAAGCTTATATAAACTTCTTGGTCATTTTCAATTGTTCGAACCACAAGCGATTGAAATATTTAGAACAAAGAAACTATAGAGTCGCTTTGATTTTAATCTTATTTTTAAAATATTTTTTATTAAACGTTAGCAATAATTAACAATATAGTATTGTACTCGTATTACGGTTTGGGATTACCTATCGGAAGTCCGAAAATACATTTGCCCGAAATAACATTAGCTCGAATTTTCATAATGTCAAATGTATTTTTTTAGGAATATTACAAAACAAAAGTTAATTTTGTATTTGTGAAAGGCATCAAAATTACTTGAAAGCGTAACGGTTTTATTATAAATGGGTTTTCGGAATTACGGACATTTGAGTTTACGTTTTGTTGGAACATCGGTAAATTTCTTGTAGTACACGCTTATTTTCACATTTGCAATATTTGTTTGTATGTATTTGTTTGTATGCTCGACACTCTATTATTTCTTGAATTTGTACGAAATTCGGCATAATAATATACATAAAAATTAATTAATATTTACAATAAAGGCATCTCCATTACTCTTGTGTTCAAGTAATTTTCAGTGAAGCTAAACATGGTGCATTTTGTTAACTTTTCAGTAGAAGCTGAATATGGTGTTTTTGGGCCCTTAAATTGTTGCAAGCAAAATTAGGCAGTACTGCAACGACGTACAATTTAAATTAAATGTTTTAGTTTTTTTATATTTCATTACATGTCACTACGTTTGTATAGGTTAACTTCGGACATTATTTTCGTGGTTTTTGTGTTAGACCCGATGTCCATTTGTTGGTAGGTCAATGGTGCATATCCTCAATTTTACCATATATTTTTTTCAAAGTATTTGATTCAACACTTTGACAGTTATGCGGTATCAACCAAAGCCATATGAGATAGCATAGACAGTTAAGATTCCTCTGATATCAAGAATATTGTAAGGCCAACATCTTCTATTGTTGTAAGTCATATGTAATAAGTACGTACTTGCGTCATCGTGCATGGTAGCCTCTCGTAATAGCATATACCGCAGCGCGCTGGGTGATACCGGGGTGGCCCTAGGGCAGACCACGTTGCCCAGTGACTTTGACATCTTGCTGCCATCCACTGTCCAGTGCGAATGGCAGACGAGGCGGCGAGGTGGGTGCCAATTGATCGCCATTAGGAAAGCCGGCCAATATATACCATGGAACCTTGCGAAGAAAAAAAGAAGGTCAATAATATTAATAGTCCATTGAATATCATGGTATTTTACTACGATGATATTAAATCGATGTCTCCAATGACACTAAGGGTCGTATTCTAGAACTCTACTCAATGCTCAGGTCAGGACTTGAGTATGATTCAAAGCACTAGAAATCATACTCAAGTCCTTGCCATTAGAGTCGTATTTCCAGTGCAATCCTGACTTGAGCATTGAGTAGAGTTCTAGAATACGATCGTATGGCATCTTAATTTTTGGACCTGCTGGGGCCTTACCATGACCTCTTATTACGATTCAGTTTCGGACCTAAAATGAATTGTTGTGAGACAGCGTTACATGAAGTGTATATCGCCATCCCGCTTTTTGTCGTTACGAACCTATACTGAACTGTAATAAGAGTTCATGGTAAGGGTCTCTGTTCTGTTTTTGTTTTGTTTTTTGTTTCTTTATTATTTTATTTTCATAAAATTCGTTTTCTGTTATTTTTTTCCGACTTTTGTTTCTTGTTTCTTAATTTTTCTTTCACAAAATTCCTGGAACATAATACTAGTAAATAAATATGGCTTAGTGTTCATAGGAGGTATCGAAATTATTTTTGCGAAATTACTCCGTAGATTTTGTTATAGTTATTATACAGTTTTATTAGTTAGTGTTATTATACAGAGATCGAAGACAAAGAAAAATTAACAAACGCTTTTTAATTTTTTGACATTGACAGCTTCAGTGACCCAACGGTTTTGATTGGGGTGGGTGGGAGTCCCGGTTTCGATTCCCGCAAATCGTTCAAATTGGTTCTAGTCTATCACTAATTCTGTCTGAACCTTTGTAAAAATATACGAAAATGTTGTGTGACATAGTAAATCAACGTTACTTAACTTAGTACTTTTAATGTAATAATATGAAAAACCATTTTTATTGTAAATTGTATGACAATTGGAATAAAGTTATGATAGGACTGGCATGTTATTAAGAACAAAAGTCCTAAAACGAAATAAAAATGTATAATATTTGATTTTACATATTACGGTCATTCTTAGACTCATGTTTACTACTTAATTTCAGTAGCAATTTTCATTATTTAAATACTCAAGTAGTATTATCGCCTAAGTACTCGAATATTAAATAATATAGCATGATAAAAAAAACGAATACTTAAATAATAAAAAATGCCACGAAAATTAGGTAGTGAACACTAGTCTGAGAATGACCCATTAATTGTATATAATGACTTGTGCATTTCGTCATTTTATTATCGAGAAAAAAAATGTGACTTTTTGTTGGTGCCGTGTAAAGAACAGATAAACTAACTTGAGTATATCCTTGCCAACAACCTGCACATCAGCCGGCCAGGGCCTGCCCTTTTTCAGCATGGCGTCATTGTCAGGGTACCCAATGACTGTCAGGTAGTTGATGAGAGCGTCAAGCCACACGTATATGCTTTGATCCTCGTCCCCGGGTACCTGTAATTAATAAAATTGAAAAGTTTTATAGAAAATTTGTTTTGGCATTGGAGCATGCTGACGATACACTTTATTCGGGGCAGTGGTACCTGTTGTTGTTAATTGCTTTTTATTATCCAAAATGGTCAAAATTACTTATACAGGGTTATTTGTATGACACTAACAACGCAGAATTCTATTACTAACATCATAAATAACAAATTTTGTTCCATGGCTTTTAATAATTAGTCAGATTTTCCTTTCTTACAAATATAAAAAATTTTAAATGGATCACTCTAAAACATAGTTTCCCAAAGTCGTCCCTACTGCCCCCCAGTGGGCGCTGAAAAGATGCTGTCTAGGGCGGGTTATTAAGTCATGGTTTGGCATCGACTTCGGGATACATAATAGGGTTTTCATATAAACGGTTTACCAGAGGTTATTATTACACATGAAACCATAAAATTTAAATTTAAAATGTTGAAAGATAATCGATCCACAAATTTTTGTTAAGTAGTAATTATTTTATTTGCCATACTAAGTGTCAAATTAAAACCTTTTGTTCAATTGAGGCTCATCCTGCAGTCAAACTGTATATACAGTTTTGTAGGACTACAAAATAAAAATAGGGAATCAACACACTTATCAAAGCGATTCGGCTTGAGCCGGTCACAAAAAGGTGGATAGGTGTGGTGATTCCTTTATAATGTATTGATATAATACCCGTATAGCCCAGTGTACTCTAGACGATGGTCTACTGATTGAAATATCAGGGAAGTAGGTCTCGTTCTCCAGTAAGTCCTGCAGTTGCTTCTGGAACTTGTTAGGCGTTATTACACCATCTGCAAGGAAATGGTAAGTATCACAACGCCTGCTTCTTGTAACTCGGATTTTGTTCTGTACACAGAAGTAATGGTTTAAATTTAAATTGAAAGCTATACATATTTAAATAAAAATAACATTATATTTAAGTACGTTCATATTTCACGTTATAATAATTATATACACACAGACACATTATCTTTGATGGCCACTGTGGTCGAGTGGCTTACACACCGGTTTCATGGTATTGCCATCTCTGAGGTCCCGGGTTCGATCCTCGGCCGGGTGAGTGCGGAAAACTAACTTTTCTAGATTGTCTCGGGTCTTGGTGTTTGTGGTTACGACGTTGATTCCGATTTCCATAACACAAGTGCTTTAGCTACTTACTTTGGGATCAGAGCAATGTACGTGATTTTGTCTAATATTTATTTATTATTGTTATCTTTCTCTCTCACACTGTCACGCACGCACGCACGCACGCACGCACGCCAACCACGTTTTTATGGAAGATTAGAGGCATTTAATACTAGCTGATGTATTTGTGGTTTGTATTACATATTAAATATTATTCTAGAAAACTAGTTATTGGCTGTACTATTTTAAGCCTTTATTTATATATTTAAAATATTGTAAACGCTCTTGGTTTTGAATAAAAATAAAATAAATTCTGATTCGAGTTCAGTCGGGTACAAGGAACTTTTCTTTGTGTTTTTAAGATCTTTGTATGAATAAAAATGACAAATTAGTCAAGCGTTTAAAAAAAAATTGATGAAATTTAACAAAAAATAGAGTAAAAACATCATTCATGGTAGTAAAACCATTATGATTTGAATAAAAATATTGCAATCCATACAGCGACATCTTTGTCAGTTTTTTATTTTTTTATTTCATAAAATTACACAGTATTCCAGTAAATTAGCAAGGCACTGTGAAATTCAATAACTACATAATATTAATAGTGAATCACGGATGATAGTCGCTCATCCATTCTCTCACAAAAACTTCAAACATTCATCATACACAACTAGTGTTGTTAAAAAACCTTTTTTTCTGAGGTGAAAAAAAAACAAGAAAAGAAACGCTGTGATTTATTTCATGTCATGTTACAACACTACACACATCCACCCATCTACTTGCAAAAACATCGCAGTCTGGTGCAGATACGAGAAGCGCATAAAACAGTGCAGAGCGCGAACAAGTGGTGCGCAAAGCCAGTCGCTGGTTCGAGTCCAGTAAGGTAGAAGGAATTTTTCTTGTACAGAGTATTCTTATTCTATAAACTTAGGTCAATCAAAAACATACCGTTTTTTAGCCACTCCTGTAAATGGCTTTTGAAGGCGCTTAATCTAAACATGTAGTTCGTCTCTTCTGTCCATTCCACTTTGTGACCAGACTCTGCCGACACTTTTACCTGAAAAAAGTAAAAAGTGTATGATTTTCAAAATTTTAAACTATGCACACACATAGACAACCACAAATTATACCCAAACTCACGAGAGAAATAAATGTAGGCCATACAAATACTTCTCCCGGCCCGGGAATCGAAACTGGGACCTCTCGGCCACGGAGGTAGTTAAATAAATAGTGTATGACTTTCAACATTTTAAACTATACATTGAAAGAATAATAATGTGCCACACAACTTCGGCAACTCGAGCGGAAGCGTAACGCCCACTGTACTTTTCGCTCTTATTGCATGGACATAAAGGTTTTCTTTGACCGGCCTAATGAATTCCATGTGAATAAATGTGGTGAGTCCCTAACGTCGCTACATGCCAAGGTCTCACATGGGCACAGCTCGTCACGTCATCTCCTTCTGGGCCTTCTACGTCTTTTGTTTTGCGTTAGGTTAGGTTAGGTTAGTTGATTTTTAATTCTTAATTAATTCATCTTTTGGCCGCTATGAGCGCTGTTGTCATACAAAATTGACTTACACAAGCATAGTAGAGGTATCCTTTATGTAATACGTACCGTTTGTCCATTTCTAACTTCATCCCTGACATGGGCCTCGGGCACAAACGCCTCGTCGTTAACACTGTACCAGCCAGAATACTGAGATTTATAGATATAGTCTTTCTCTAGAAGCTTATTCTGCAACAATACAATAATAGATAGATGAAAATTAATTGTAACACTTACATATCATCTGGTTAAAGGTAAAACCACATAAGTGATATTTTCCACAAAAAATCTCCAAATTATGTACCAGTTGTAAGAATAGATAAAACTCTATTAAGTGTATAGTTTTTTTGTTATTGAGTTTCACGTGCAGGAAGATAGTGATTGTCTTACCATAGCTATATAAATTAAAGACTTTTTGTGGAAAATGTCAGTTATGTGGTTTTACCTTTAAACAGATGATACCTATGTGTTGTGCACGTAAGCCCGGTATGCATTTAGGTCTGCAGAAGGAAATTATTTTAGAAATAAGAAGAACCTTTTTTGTTTCCTTTTATTAATGTGATTTGTGTGATTTTTTTGTTGTCTGTACAATAAACGATTAAATAAATAAAAGATATTGTGAATTTGAATTTGCCTTCAAAAGATTACAGTATGTAGGTCTTCCGCAAGTATATAGTTTGAAATATTATTTGAATCGATGAAGTTATCAGCTGGGACGGTTTATCTATCTATTGCATTTCAATAGAATAATAAATAGAACTCATCATTTTACAAAAAATGTATTATGTGACACGTGTGTTTTTTCACAATCGCCTAGCGGCCTATTTCAAAAGTATCCAACTCATCAGGAAAACGGTTTACAAAAAAAACTAAGACATTTCTGCCGCGCAAGTTGACGAATCGTAGACTTTTTTTTTATAATGTTAAGTGACGGGACGAACTAGTCGTGCGCCTGATGGTAAGCTACACGCCTATCCATAACAGTTCCATTGCTACTCAGACTTTAAATCGCAAAAATTTGAGAGGCACTGCCACTGCGCCTGTCAGTCAGAGACATAATTTGATAAGTCTCATGTGCCTGTAATTTCACTAGCACCCTTACCATTCAAAACTAGACATGAGCGTCGATAATAGACCAAACGGCTGCGGCGCGCCGACAAAAAAGTGTCGGCGGCGGCGGCGTTTCGGCGGCGCGAGCGCGACCCTAAAACGAATTGTATATCGGTGTTTGTTTTTACAAAACCGTTATACAAATATTTTTCAAAGGTTAAATAACGTATTTTCTATAGTAATCAAAATTTTTATCAGTTCGCTCAGGCGCTCCGATCGTACGCACGCGCACGCTTCCATATTTCATACACAGAAATTGACAAATTAATTTTTTAAACAAAACATCTTTAAATATAAAGTCACCAACTAGCTTTTGTCGCCTATCTAGGCCACCTCTGACGGCACGCAGGCCTATACTGCAGAAAACAAGGCAAATCTTGCCTCACTCTTTGCAAAGTGTTCGCGTCTGGATCTCATCTTACCTCAAGCTGGCTGCACTATGGCGCCAATTCGCATACGCCAAAAAGAGGTACTTAGAACTCTGCGGAATCTAGACGTGAATAAAGCTAGCGGGCCAGATGGAATTCCAGCACTAGTCCTACGTAACTGTGCGCCTGAGTTGTCTCCTGTTCTTACACGCCTACGCCTGTACCGCCTCTCACTTGAGACTGGTGTAGTTCCCAGGTCGTGGAAGCTTGCAAACTTGCAACCTGTGCCGAAAAAGGGAAGCAGAGCTGACTCTGTCAACTATAGACCTACCTCAGTCACTTCCATACTCTGCAAGACTATGGGAACGTGTACTCAACAACCGTCTCTTGTCGTACCTTGAAGACAACGACCTCCTCAGTAATCGCCAGTACGGATTCCGACGAGGGCGATCTACTGGTGATCTTCTTGTGTATGCCTGTCACATATGGAGCGAGGCTATAGAAAAGCAAGGTGAAGCACTTGCAGCGTCTTTGGATATTCCTAAAGCCTTTGACAGGGTCTGGTACGCAAACCTTTTAACTAAGCTTCCCTATTATGGGCTTCCCACTTTGCAATTGGATCTCGGATTTCTTGAGCGAACGTCCGATTCGAGAGGTCTTAAAAGGCTACCCTTCTGAACATATGGCGATAGATTCCTCAGGGTTCCGTACTGTCTGCAACTCTCTTTCTGCTGCAAATCAATGATATGTTAATTCCAGGTATCTTTGCGTATGCTGATGACAACACAGTTGTGGATAGGTACTTGACCAATGCAAGGGTCAGTGGAGAGGAAATCCAGTCTTGTCGAGAGTCTATGGTTAGCCGTTTGGATTTAAACCTCAAGACAGTCTCCGATTGGGGCGATGCCAATCTTGTCAAATTTAACGCTACCAAAACGCGAGCGTGTCTATTCTCCACAAAACGGAGTCCCTTTGAGCTGACTCCGACTTTTCGTCATATATCCATACCGATCGCCGACTGTCTCCAGCTACTTGGAATGTACCTGTCGTCCAATTTGTACTTCGGCAGATTCATTGAATCCATGGCCAAACATGCAGCAAGGCGTTACTTCACACCGGGACAAGCGCCATATCTTTCTACGTTAGTTTTGATTATAGTGACCCTCCCTACCTACCCTGAGAAGGGCGATATACGAGAAGGGCGATATACGAGAAGGGCACTATAACCTGTGTGCGCACAGGAACCTTACAAGTTCAGGTTCTGACCCCAGATCAGCCAGTGCACAGGGTTGTCACTGACCTCTGTCACTTGACTTCATCCGGTTCTTTGAGAGGCTAGTGCCTCGGGCGAGCCGCCCCGGGTGCACGTACAGTACCCTCCCTATTTTCCAGATAGGTACCGGAGCTGTAGGCACGGTCACTTCCCGTTGCGCATTGCACAACTAGCACTTGCCACCACTATATCCGATGGTTTTAAAAAAGACTATTGCAATGTAATTCGCTTACCTGTTAAATCAAGTTTTTTGATACAAATCGCGTATATTTGTTTGGTTTTTCAAACAAACCAACGTTTCGGACTCTTTACAGGTGATGGTCACGGTTCAATAATGAGGTTTTCCAACCAAGCGAATATAGTGACGTATAATTTGTTCAATGTCATACGGTAAGCGAGACGATCGTCCATTTGCATAAATATTTACTTATCCTTATACAATTTTGTAGATGTTTATTTTGCTTATTTTATTCATTTTAATATTTAAGTAAGTTTTATCTCTCTCAAGTTCATCTTACGACAGTCGTATAAAGTCCGTGAAGATCCGAGCTAGGATCACATTTCAATTTGAAAATTTTCTTATCGGGCTATAACTTAGTTTAGTTCACGTAGTTGCATGCAAAGCTAAGCTAAGAAAATACGTAGTAAGTAGATCAAATGGGTTTCTGAGCGAGAAGATGAATCTGATTCCTACTATATCTTTCTAATGATTATTGTTCTTATTATATTGTTCAACTACTGTTGTAATTAGGCGCCTCGACTCGGAAAAGACGCAGCTTCCGATCGGGGGAGGCAATCAAAATCAAGCTGCTGGGGTTTGTCAAACTTCATTGAGTGTGTGGTCGTGTGGTGGAGTGGGGAGTCGGTTTGTTTGAAAAAACAAATATACGCGATTTAAATCCGGAAAAATAGTTTCATTTCTTATCTATATTAATGTTTGTATATATACGCATTCTATTATTATCCATCCAAATTGTTGTGACCACGCTTTGAAAAGTGTATGTGAAGTATTAGATTCCATTGCTAGACATAGGTCTTTTCTAAAAGCGGTTACACACGGCCACTTTTAGCAGCGATGCAAACGCGATACAGTCGCTAATCGTCTACCTTTACACACACTCGATTTTAAGGTCGCTGTTCGCTGCTAAAAGCGTGTAACCACTCTAAAAACAGGGTTAAGGTCATATTTAGCAGAGTTAAAAGACAAGCAGTGTTTTTGGCAGTGGCATTACATCGCAAGCCTGGTAAAGTTTGAAATAGAATTGCTTTATTAGAAATTTGATTTGATTTGAGAAATTTGATGCAAAATGTACATTACAAAGAGATTATTTACATGGATATCGTACGTTATTTTAGCTTAGTAAAAACCTTATATCTATCTGTGTTAAAAAACAATGCTCATTAATTTTAGTTTTGAAATGTTTAAATATTTTAAATACAATTTAAATTAAGTTTATACATTAGGAAGCTATGGTTATGGAAGAGCGGAGTCTCCTATGACAGGCATTGCTATGCTTAAAAGGAGAACTCATCCGAAGAACAGAGTCCGATGTGATTATATAGCGAAATGAGAATAAGTACGTAACGAGAATAATTTCGTTATTCAAAGTAAGGCCTATGTGAAGGTGTTTTAAAAATGTATATATCTTATTTCGTTTCGGAAATATAAAATGAACAACGGTCGATCTGACATCCACAGTGAAGAACGCGAACGAACGAAATGTACTATGTCCTGAGAACATGTAGTCTTGCGCATAGATCTTTGTTATACGGATGAGTATCAACTGTAAGCCAAAGATCTCGGATTAGAGTTGTGCAAAGTCTTATTGATATCAGCTGATCGCAATCGTATGACCTAGAATTTTCATAAATAAAATAATGGGAAGTAAAATAACAATGTAAATGTGTTTCATATCGTTATCGGAATAAATTGCATTATGACTACACCTTTTTGTTATACGTTTATACGCTTTGTAGTTTTGCCAAGTTGCTAAAGTCCATGTACAGCCTCTCTGCGCGTTGGAAAGAGATAGAACTGATCGAGTCGATGCAACAAAAGATCGCATTTATTACTTATATTTACTCAATGTGTATGTGTGTATTCTTAGTATATACCGTTCTGAGGTTACTACCGTTTTGTCTAATGACCTCGTTGACCCAACGGTTAGCACCATGATGACTAGATGAGGAAGTTCTGGGTTCGATAATCGATATCTTAGCCAACAGATTAAGCTCTGCTGATAATAGGTGAGCTTACCGATATTGCTACTGCTAGACCAGTTTACTTTAGTTACTTCCATAGTACAATGTCCTATGGGATTCTCATGTGGGGTAAAGCGACAGATATACAAACCATATTTGTGTTGCAAAATCGAGCGATTCATTCTGTGTATCGTTTAAGTTCCCGGGTTTCTCTCAGAGAAAAGTTAAAGGAGACT